TTTCTCTAATTGTAATTTAGCAGATATGGGTGGGGAAACTTGGTTGTCTTAAAGAAATGGCATTTTGTTTAATTTTTTTTATATATTAATATTTAGTGAAATCAAGCTCCAAGGTACAAAACTCTGTGAAGCTTAATGGGTGTTTTGGATGTTAAAACAAATTTCAATATATTCATCAATGGAAATACACTACCAATTTGTTTTGTTTTTAATGTTCCTGGCTAATAAAGAGAAAGAAATAGAAGAGGAATTATACAACAGTTAGAGCTGTGTTTGATTTAGCAGTTTATCAATAAAGCCTTTAGCTCATGATGAACGTGGTAACACAGTGGAGATGTTTTCAAGGCACAGGAGAAGAGTGAGGAGTGCAGGCTGGTGGAAAATACCTGAGAACGAGTAACTGCCAAGTCTGCAGATCACCTGTATGAGCTGTGTCAGGAAGGCCTGAGTGGGAACCTGGAATAAAGTTACTAGAGGAGTGAAGTGTGTACAAATTTTACATCTTGTTGTAAACCACTTATTAAATATCATGAGAATCTTGTGAATGCCATAAGTGATGTGAAAAGCACTTCAACCAGAGGGAACATGCTAATTAGGGGACACATCACAAGTGTGAGCTGGAGGAAGGGAAGAAATCCTGTCCCAGACAGAAATGCAGGGAAAACGAAGCGATCCTCTGAAGCTTTGTCCCTCTGCACCCCATCCCATGAGATGAAAGAACAAGCAGCAGCAGGACGGAGGAAGAGGATGGACACAGCCACACCAACACACTGCAGGGCCAGACTTCAGCAGGGGCAGGGGCAAATGCAGCCTCAAAAATTCTCTGGAAGGAGGAAGAGCTGGAGGAAGGAGAGAAAAAACAAAAACAAAAACAAAAAAAACAGTGGCATCTCTTGGGCTCACTTTATCAGGCCTCCCTGGCACCCGCAGAGGGAGGGCATGCAGGGAGCAAGACCACCCCTGCCCCAGAGAGGCATCTGGGGCTGTGCTGTCATTGGCAGCTGCTCCACCTTTAAGTAAGCCTTGAAAACACTGAAAATAGGTGAGAGGATCCAATCCAAGGGAAAATTACTTCTGTCTTGCAATGTTCAGTCTATTTTGGAGAGTGAAGAGGGGTGATTTTGTTTGTTTATTTTTTAAGTATTTTAAAGCCTACATTTTGAACTTCATCCTTTTACATGTCTGCCATTTGCACTGGCTTGGTACACAGACACATTACCCTTACGGCCCGTCCCTCCAGAAGGCTCAGGCAGACACTCTGCTCTTCAACAGCTTCAACAGCATTTGCCAATTGTGGGAGCACTTCTCAAAGTTACTTCAGATCTGATTTATGTTTGCATGAATCCAGAATTCTACAGGTTTTTGTCCATTTTTTTTTAAAATCCTACTGCCTAGTCCATGGTGCACCATGCAGATGCACCCAGCTCAGGATCAGACTGCTGTTCACAGCTACCCTGAGCCTGACTGAGATGTCTGTATTCTCCACTTGTACCCAAGTTAATTCACTCTCAGCTCATGGCATAAATACATGATTAGTCCTGAATTTTATAGTCTTATTTTTACCCTTAACTTTCATCCATTTTTGAATCTCTGTCTTCCGCACACTCCCTCTACTGTGACATTTTGTTCCTTCCCTCACCCTGCTGAAACCCCTCCAGTTTCCCACCTTCTGCCATGATGTGCTTGAGTCACCTGCTGAGATTCTCACTCAGAAATCCTCTGACCAGCCCAGCAGTTCTGCTCTGGGAACAACTCGGTGCCGTTTTACACTTCAGTTCCTTCGCTGCCTCCTATACCAAGTCACACCTCCCCCAGGAAAAATGCCCGCTCTCCTTGTGAGCCAGTACCAGGCACTGTTCTGAAGCCTGGAAGTAGATCTCTTGCATTTCCCATGCTAGAAAATCAATTAGGTGAAGATAACTGATTGAAGCACCATGACACACATTAGGGCAGGTGGAGACAGCAGAATATGCAGTGTGCGAGTACGCAGCCACAATTAGGAGAGGCTCTGTGCAGCCATTTGCTGGCATCGCTCTCTTCCATCATTCTCAGGCATGCCTTACAGTTGCATTGATGGTAAATTATTTTTCTAGATTATTATAGTCTGTCTGGTGAAATTTGAGGCAGATAACACAATCACTCTGCCAATAAGCAGTCAATGCAGGCACTGTGGGAGGTGTAATAGTTTTCCATGGCAGCTCCTAGAGAATTGATTAGCACTTGGCTCATTAGCTCAATAGCAATCAATGGCTCTAAACAGCTCAGATACTATTCTTGCACATCAGAATTGCATAATAAAAATCCCGATGACAGATTTACTCAGTACACATTTGCAGCACAGTGTTCCACCAAAGAGAGAAGAGATTTAAGGGCTGAGCCGTCAGAGCCGTGCAGAGGGAGCTCGCCAGGAGGGGCTCGCCCCGCGGAGCAGCCCCAGCACACGGCTTTGGCACCGCTTGATCATTGCACGGGGCCAAGAAAGCCAGACCTTCAGACTCAGGCAGGCCCTATGTAAAAATAAGCCAATGTACTTAAAACAAAGTGATCTAAAACTCAAGTGCTTCCTGTTCTACACCATCAGCATTCAGAGAGATTAAAAATACTTTCAAAATCTTTTTAAAAGCATTAAACTCACACAAAATCACTTGGAACAAATCTAAATTTTCACCATCTCCACATGGAAAATTATTATTATTTATTCTCTCTAACAAAGAGAGTAGGTGAACTGGTTCAAGAAATTCAAGAGCACTCAAACCTTGTCACTCACTCCCATGGAGAGCCAACCCCAAGCGGCTCACAACAAGAGCTCAGAAGAACTAGCAAGGAAGGGCTGAGTGCATTGGGAAGAAAGGGTCCGAGGCAGAAGCACAGTGGCCAACAGCCTCCTAGCAGCTGCCGACACGTGTTCGCTGTCAGTAAGGAGGCACAGCAGGACATCCAAATTCCTAGCCGGTGGCTGCACGGGGGGCACAGGGCAGCGCACACCCTGCTGAATTACTGAGTGGGGAAGGAGGAGGCGAGCCCAAAGGGTGGCGTCAAGAAAGAAGGAAAAACAAAGTAAGGAAGTAAGACAGCCCCAGGTCCCTGCACAGAAAGTGGTAAAATCAGGAGGTCTGCAGGACCTGCTGGGACAGGTTAGAAGCACGCAGAACGGTGTCATTTTTATTAATTTAATAAGCAAATAATTTAATGAATAAATGGTACATATGGCTGGAGTGCAGTTGTACCTTTATACGAAAGCAGTAATGAGAACATTTCCTATGGGCTGGTGCATATAAAGCAGGCCCTGGGAGCACGAGTTCTAACGACCCTTTGGGCTGTGAGTGATAATTGGGAGAGACTCAGCAGGAGATGCTGTTGGGATCCGCGGTATCAAAGGAATGAGGAAAACTCCTCTGCCAGAGACCAAGTCTTGAGCTCATGTTTTTCTGAACAACACCACCCATCAACTTTCATCAGGCCTTAGATATCCTGAACTTCTCCCAAACCTTCGTTCCTTTATCTATTAAAACATTAATTATATGAAAAGGAAACATGAGGACAGAGACCTTTGTGAAGGAGAGAGTAAGATACTGATGCATAGCTCACTGGGCTACTTACATGGAAAACATGTAAAAGAGAAAACAACAAGAACCTAATAAATGAGGTTTTGTCTTTTTCTCCCCCCCCCCCCCCTTGTTTTTTTTTTTTTTTTACTTCCCCCCAGTGATACAGCTGAATTAATACAGCTGTGACAGTAAGGTCTCGTTGGACTGTCTGAGCAGTCTCCCAGCCATTTGATGAGCCTTGATAAAGGGCTTGATAAAGGATTGAATTTGTCTGGTGCTGGCTGATTAACCGGCCAGCAAACAGCTGATAGATAATAAGCAAACAGCAGAGTTTGAGCTGACTCAGAAAACACTACCTATGAAAGCAGGATAGACAACAGTTTTCAGCACCAAAACCTGATTGTGATAGAAGAATGTTTTAATATTTAAATGCTACAGCTGTGACAGCTAAAACATTTACTTAAAACAACTGAACAAAAATGCACATGTGGTTTCATTTCCCATGTCCTTTTCACCTCCACTAAGAGCTGCACGTTGCCATTATGCAAAATATCAACTTTATTTGTTTTGAAAAACACTGCTGATTTTTTGCAAGTGTGCTCAATACTGAAAATTAGTTTTAAATCATTAAATCATCAGAGACTACTACGCTATCAGTGGAATTTCAAGACAGATTGTGTAAGGGAAAAATTAAGTTTCCATAATTGATAATATACTTAGATGTAAATAACATTTCATTTTGCAGCAATTGCTTTATGAATCTCTAAGTCTTATTTAATTAATCAGTACACTTTGCATCAGTGACAAACCACATATTCAGCAGATTTAAAGATGCATATTCTATTATGGGAGTATTAAGTGTAGCTTTATCAGGGATTTAATAAATAACAGCAATATTCCAGTATGAAAAACTCATAAAGAGCTGGGCTCAAGGGGGCATAAATTGTGACACAAAGGCATTTTTAAATCAAAGTACACATATTTCTTAGAGTCTTAAAACACAAAAAGTAGTGCCTAAATTTACTTTTTTGAGCCAAGAAAAATGCATTTTTTATAACCCCCAGCAGGGGTATAAAAAAAAAACACTTGCAGAAGGAGCACTGGGAGGGCTCACCAGGAGAAGGTGCACAAAGTGGAGCTGGTACCGTGTTTTGACCTCGCTCTTCTGTACCTGTATGGAGAGCGGTGCCTGGCAGTCCACCTGCGTCCTAAATTTAAGAAGTGTCAAAACCAGCTGAAAGATGCCTGGCTGAGAAGAACTGGAAAGAGGAGAGAGATTTACACCAAACCAAAACAAGCCAGTGAGTCAGAGGGCAATGGCTGGGAACAGAAGTTTGGGGATCAGTCAGGCATCTCTTGTTTAGATGCTTTAGAATAGCTCAAATCCTCTGTATGAGTGCAACCTCAGATACGCACTTATCACTGTCACACTGTCATTTACCAAAAAAAAAAAAAAAAAAAAAAAAAAAAAAAAAAAGTGATGGAGCCAAAATCAATTTGCAGTGCAGGACTCCCCGTGCTCACCATGAATGCAAGGAGCAGGCAGCCCACCAAGCCCCATGCTGCACATCCTAAGACACAGAGGGCAATACGAACAGGCAGAGGAGCTCAGGACCGCAGACAGCTGGGTTCCTCCCCTGCATCATCCCAGCTTTAAGCGCAGTGTTCCCTGCAGTTCACAATTACAAACTCGCCGTGCATTGGAGATGAAGGGCAAAGCCATTTCACAGGAGGGAACTGCGCTCACGATGGATGTCCTGGCCGTTGGTACTGGCCATGGGCAGCAGCAGGTCACCCAGCAAGTCTGCTACAATCTATATCAGAAATAGCACAAACATTAATTTCTGGAAAATTACCCAGGGCACACAAGGAGGAATATGCGCTGGCTTTATGCTAGCTGCAGGAAACCGACCATTCATCACCTGGCCGTGGCTTCCTAAGACCGTCCACTGCAGAGGCAACTTTGAACAAATAATCAAGAGTCCTGTCCCCCCCATTGCTGCTCCATACAGCCGAGACATCTGCACCTGGAAAATGAGATTATGTGTCTTAATCAGCACTGATCAGCCACAGTTACTGATTTGTTTAAATGACATAAAATAAAAGAATATTTCAGCAATAGTTCTGTATTATGACAAATCAATGGTATGGCTGCCACTTCATAAAATAACGCATGAATAATAAAACTACATAAAATGAACCCTCTGGAAGATTAGAAATAATCTTCTGAGTTCTGAAAACTTGAATTTTGAAGCTACATCATAGAAATTCAGAACTTAGACATGCTTCAACTGGTTTTAGCCCCTTTGTACTCTCTGGAGGACTACTGTGAAGTAGGGGAAAAAAAATAATAAAAATAAAGAGGGAGAGAGAGAGATCTGGTTTCCTTCAACCGCCAGACAACTCTGGGACACAGAACCTCATTGCAGGTGAGGCCACCACACTGCCGGGACCTCAAGGCCATAAAGTGTCCCAGGACAGGAGAGATGTTTTGGCACTGGCTGCACTGCTGAGCTGTCCCCAGGTCAGCAAAACCCCGTGGTAGCTGAAGGTGTCTGGGGCTGGAAACCTGAGCATGGCAAGCAGGGTGCAGAGCAGGCAGGGCTCCCTGCGCTTGTGAAAAGCACGGCTCGTTTACTGGTTTAACTGGGTCACCACCATGCTGGGAGTAGCTCTGTATCTTTGGCCAATGGAAAAAAATAATTGGTTTGAGTACACCCAAACGTAAACCTGCTGGCACAGTCATTGCACTAAAAGGTTCCCTATCTATTATCATTATCTTTTTTTTTTCTTCAGAATTTTTTATGATTTATATGAAAAATATATATATGTTATTTTTTTGCCTCAAATCCTTGTATGACTCTAGTTTAGTGGGGTTTTTTTAAGCTTTTATGTTTGTTTGGGTTTTTAAATAAAGAACATTTTTAAATTTTTTAAGTGTTTTCTTTTTGGTGGAGTGTAACTATCTGCTATGTTCAGCTCCGCTCCAAAAATAAATGCATTATTCCAAAATAAAATTTAAGTACCTCTTTGTCCCCAAACAACACTCAGCATCCATCAGCAGCACCATTCACTGAGTAAATCTTGTTCCACGTGTGCAGCTATTTCAGGGGCCATCCTGAGATGTGAAGGTCTGGCAGCTGAACGCCGTGATGGGTGCAGGTCCTGTGTTCACTCTCTGGAAGGAAAGGCTTTGCTCCTGCACTGAGACCCCGCAGGGTCTCTGGGATCAGGCGGGTGCAGCCCGCAGAGCCCAGCTCAACCCAGCCGGGCCCAGCCCTCCCCGGCAGCCCCCCAGGACCAGCGGGGGACGAGGCAGAGCTGGGAGCTGGGATCCAAGCACTGCTGCCCACCTCTGAGCCCAGCCCAGCTGCAGGGCTCTCCTCAGTGGTCTCCATTTGTGCTTTCACCTCCACACAATTTCCCTCCCGTTACGTCTGTTTGGATGTATTATGGGTTTCCCTGTCACTGAAAGCCCGCTCTCCCCACAGTTACTGGTAGACTGCTGACAAGATCCACACAAAAATCCCTCACACAGACTCCAGCTTTGCAAGTCTCTCCTTTGAAGATAAGGTCGGGAGCTGCATTTTTCCAACCCCCATCCAGTTTAGCAGCAGTGCTTTCAGGAGGGGCTGGTGACCTGCAGCAGTGCCCCGGCAACCCTCGTGCAGCACAGCACGGCTCTGGTGCTCTCACAGCTTCACGGCACAGAGAAAAGCTTGTGGGGAGGGCAGGGTGTTTTACTAGGCCAAGTGACATAGCTGGGAAACTCAGGGAAGCTTTTGGTTACACAAACTTTTTTCACATCGATGTAACAGAGTTGGGACTAATAAAAGCCATTACCTATCCCTACACACCTCGCGTCTTGCACAGCCTTGTATCATCACAGCTGCAGCAGCAAATTACAACTATTGATGTGGTATTCATGGAAAATGGTTACCTCCATGGTATCACTCAGTATTTATTTATACACCAAATGTTATCTCTCCTAACCACAGTTCATGTAGGACACCTGCAAAGCCCTATTCCGCCATCCTCCTAGACTGGCAAACCAAAACACCCATTTGTGCATGGTGACTCCTGCAGCCCGGATTCACAAAGTACTTCAGAGCCCAGGGACAGAGGAGGATCATGAAAACCTCTCGGTACAAGTCAGTGTGAGTCTTTAAAACGACATTGCCAGCTCGTCAGCCTCCCCCACTGCCCCTCTTCCTATAACTATGGTCTTGCAGTTCCCTGTTAATGCAACATTAATTGTAACTAGGCTGGTTACCAAAGAAACTTCCCTTCCCTTCCCTTCCCTTCCCTTCCCTTCCCTTCCCTTCCCTTCCCTTCCCTTCCCTTCCCTTCCCTTCCCTTCCCTTCCCTTCCCTTCCCTTCCCTTCTCTTCCCTTCCCAACTTTATTCTCAGCAAATATAAGCTGTTTCACTTTTTGGTCTCTCTGCAGAGATCAGTGCCTGAAGATGAATGCTGAATTCACTGGATATGAGGAATGGAGGAATGGTTCAGCATCATTGACTCGGTGAGAATTTGGTCAGTGACTCCTGTATCGATGCAGATTTCTTTTGTATGCAGCACGTACGTACAGTTTCATTCCAAAAATTGCAAATAATAGCCCTAGTCTTTCAAAGTCAATCTAGTTCAGCGCATCAGTATAAATCCTGTACCAAATCATCTCTCCTGTAGCACAGAATCGATGTTTTCCAAATGGGCTCTTAGCCCCCAGATTTTGCAGATTTTTTACCACATACTTTTTCCAGGCTGCAGCTCTCAGCCCTGCCATGGAGCACCACTCCTATTCCTATTTCTTCAGTTGCACAAGCCTCCCCATTTATTTCCGTCTGCCTTGCAGCCAGCCCGATGTGTTCTCTTTCCATTCCGTAAGATTGCTCACAGCTTTATGGCAGAGGTTATTTCTGCAGAAGTTAGGAGTTATTCTGCAGTGTTCATCTCCCACGGAGGAAGACTCTAGAGGTAGGTCCTGGTGCTATGTAGGCTTTGTTGCTAAAACAGACAAAGTCTTACAAAGAACACCATAAACACTCCACACTTTGACCAGGAAAGAGAATAACAGGTTTGAAAAACACTGTTCTGTCGTGATTTAAGGGCTCTGCTCGCTCGCCCCCATCAGACACAGGGGAGGCACTGAGAAGCCCCATCCCTGCCAACGTCAGCTAGGAAAAGCTGTGACACTGCAGGCAAAGCACAACCGGCCTTACCCTTAACTCTTGTAAAGAAAATGCAGAACAACCACTGCTGCTGCTCTGAGCACCGGGTCTGGTATCAAGAAGTAATTTTGGCAACTCCTCGCTGCAGCCGTGTGGAATTTTTTCTTCTCTTAAAGAAGAACTCCAGCCAAGGTGGTTGCTCTTCTGAATAGTAATGCTACTGCGGAGAAGCTGCTTGCAAACAAATGCTCGAGAAAAGCCACACTGCGGGTGATGAATGGGAAACCGGGCCGTGTGTCACGGCCCACGGAGAGGCCACAGGATACATTTGTTTTCTCCTCCTGCGGGATGGAAAGCAGTGTATCTTCCCTTCCTTGGGTTTGTCATGTTCCTCATCCTCTGATATTGAGCTTGTCAGCTTTGTAATGAAAAGCAAAACCAAGGGGAAAATCCAACAAGTGTTACTTTCAACATGCCTCCTAGAATCAGAAATCAGCCTGAAGACGCCCTTGTCTGGTGGTGTCTCTTGAATCCTGCTGGCTCGTGCAAATTGCAGGGACTCTCACCACCCCCTTGTCCTTCTTTGCAGTACAAGTGAAAAGTGAAGGAACAGCTGGAAATTCGTAGAGGCATCAAGACAACATGTTCATACACTTCTCCAGAGAGTCAGCACTGATCTGAGGACATCGACTCTGTGGTTAAATCACCCCAGCTCACCCACTGAGGCTTCATTCGTACCCTCCTCGTGGCCTCTGCCCAGAGGACACACGCTAACAGCAGACCTCGAGGAGCACCAGAGCTCACCACCACCACAGCAGCCCTTTCAGGAATATGAGATGAGCACGGGACAAACTGACCTGCATAAATCCATCACGATTAGCAGCCACATCCTATTACAGTCAGAACTGGTGTGACGAGGAGCAGCAGCTATCACTAAGCAGGGTGCTTAATTGAGAAAGAAACCCAGACACCTCAGACAAGCAGCGGAATGACAGAGACTAAGCTGTGCTGAAAGCAAGACAAGTGCCCCAACGTGCGCTGCATTGCAAGCGGTACCGAGGCGCTGGTCCCCGTTCTGCAGAGCTTTGGACACCCTCCAGCACTCCCAGAGCGCCGCTCTGCAGGGACCAGCCTGCAAGCAGCCACACCAGGGAGCTTCTGTCAGTGTCAGCGCAGTGCCATCTGCTCCCAGGCCGATGTGCTGATGCGTACTGCCCCCTCAATGCCCACGGAGGGGTGCTTGGGTGGCGAGATGCCGCACGGGAGGCAGCAGTGCTGACGCTGCCCTGCTGCCTTCACCCAGGCTTACACAGCGCGGGATGCTCTTGAAGAGATGCAGAGCTTTGTTCTCAGAGATGCTGCAGCTCTGCTCCTGCACCCCCCATTTCTGGAGGCCCTGAAATCCAACAGGTTTGAGATGAAAGCCTCCTCGTGGCTGGCGGTGCCTGGACCACCCATACCCACTGCCCATCTGTACCAGTGTCTGCTGAAAGTGGTAATCACAAACTCAGTACGGGCTTTCCTGGTGACTCCTTCCTTGTGGGAGGGAAGCAGCAGGCTGGGCTCTCTGTGCTGGCACACCAAAACCCACAGTAGGCACACGGGAAGGCTGCACACCCGGCACTTGATGGTCCTGCTCCAGCACGCGCGGCTCGGCTCGGGGTGAGCGCACCCCGTGGCTGCCTCCCAGTGCCTGGCTGGAAGCGTCACCCAGCCTGCTGCGGGTGGGCATGCAGAAATTAAAAACCCTTGGGGAGCTACAGGAGAAACGTCCCTATCCCTGACATTAGCACATGCGTGATAACGGGCTGAGGGTAACAATTAGCACATTCATTTGGAGATATGCCAGCTGGGCAAGGAGAGGAGAGCTCTCCCCTGGCAGGGGCTGGAGCAGTTTTTGCTGAGGGCTGAGCCCAGGGAGACAGTGCAGGAGCTGCTGTAACTGCTACCTGAATGACTGCTGCTGTAAATGGCTGCTGATGCTTTATACGGGGAAAAAAAATTGCAAAAGGGTTTCAGATCTCACTGATTTTATGAACCCACGGCTGATATCAGCTACAAATTGCATTTGGTTTCCTGTGTGCAGGGGGAAGATCTGTCGCGTGTTGCAGCTCGTGCTGCAGCACCAAACGTAACATTTCCGTGTCCGTGGCTTTGTATCAAGTATTTCATTTGGGTTTTGGCTTGAATGAGTCTGACATTTTGGAACTATAATAAACTTCTTTCTATCCATATGAATATTTATGCCTTTAAATTAGCCATAATCCAAGGGGAAAAATGCATCTTACAGAAACAAATATAGCACGGGAACAAGCTGAGCGGTGGCGGAGCAGCCCCCTGCTGAGGACCAGGACGTGTGGTTTATTCATGCACATCGCAGTGGGACTGCAGCCAGGCGGTGGTGCAGTTAGCGATGAGGTGCTAGGACCCCCGGGCCAGTTACTGAAGCCTTATCCATGAGGTTGAGGGGTACGGGTGGGGTATGGCCCTAACACTGTGCTCGGGGAGGTCGATGTAGAGATGCACGCACGTCACTGCTCTTTCAGTAGATGATGCATTTTTGTGAATGGTTCCAGGTTGCTGCATGGCCCATATTGCTCTGATTGGCTCCTGCTCCGTTAGCTGCCAGAGCTTTGGTACAATTTCTATTCATTTTAATCAACAGTAACATCCTTCAAAATGATTGAGTCAAATGCTGGAGAGGCCCTGCAGAGTCTCAGTGCAAACATTTCTGTACAGCAATGATTTCTTGCATGCAGTTATTCCCTTTCATTGCTCTTAATCTATTTAATTTCTGCTTTCATAACTTCTTGCTCAGTACACTGAAGGATTTTATGTTGAAGTTAAGACTATAGAAAAGCATCTGTGCATTACCTTGGTGTTCTTCAGGTTTGCAGGCTTCTGTAATATCTGCACCCAAGATGCTCTTCTCTTGCACAAGGACTGGTTAAGAACTGCGTAAAGACGTCAGGACTCGATTCTGAGCCAGTTGCTTTACAGTCTCTGCAAATGATGCAAAACAACAGCGGTTTCAACTTCAGGAGTTTATCATTCAGGAGTTATAACACCGTATTTCCTTCCTTTCTTCCTCTTCCCACCCTCCTTCCTCCCCTCTTTCTTTCTCTTCCTTTCTTTTCTTTCTCTCCTTCCTTTCTTCATGTTTCCTTCCTTCCTTCTTATTTCTTTCCTTCTCTTTCCTTCCTTCTTTCCTTCCTTCCTTCCGTTTTTATTCTTCTATTTATTCTTCTTTATTCTTTTATTCGTATTTATTTCTTCTTTTTTTTAACCTTCATTATCCCAACTCTGTTAACCTTTTTTTTTTTTTTTTTTTTTTTTTTTTTTTAAATGACCTGACTAAAGGACTTATGGCTCGGGAGCCATGAACACGAGCTGAGGCAGGGCAGGTGCACCCGGTGCAGGCAGAGCAGACGTCCCCAGCCCCACGTTGGCACTGTCCCCGTGCAGCAGCACCAGGCTGGCAGGCTGTGCAGACTGCCATCCCAAGGGCACAGGGGTGTCCTGGCTGTCATTTGGGAAAATCAGCAGGGGAACTGTTGTCAGGAGGAAATGTGATTTTCAAGGCAATGAGCCACTTAATATGATGCAGTATTATCTCCTTAGGAAAATGGAGATTCAGGTAAGTTAAGTCCTTGCTCAAAAGGTCACGCAATAAGTCACTGTAAGAGCAGGATTAAGCTCTGCATTCCCTGCTGGCTCGTGCTTTGCCAGGGGAAGACGTCACCTCAGCAGGAAAGGCTGACTGAAGTGTGTGCATGGCTGTGTCACTGCCATGGGAAATGGAGGGGCCGCGATCTGGAGGCCTGCCTCTGTCCCCAGGCACTCTGCTGCAGGGCCCACTGCCAGCCAGACTGCACAGCGGGGGAAAATCCCTGTCTGCGCTGCGGATGGATGTCTCAGGAGACAACATGATTGATTCCTCCCTGTTTGTTTTACACCTTCAGATGTTTTGGAAGAAGCCTTATAGAAAACGGATAGACAGAAAGGACTCCCTGGTCATCATATCCAGCCGTGCTTAATTACAGGCAGCAGATACTGAGTCTAAAATTAGACACAGCATCTCCTGCTGCACAAATGCACCACCTCCCAGAGGAGCTGAAGCCTCCTCGCTGAACCCTCAAAGCTCCCAGCACGTTCCCCATGGAGCCGGGAAGAAAACACCCTGATGGGGCACGGAGGTAAATGTGATGGAGGAAGGCAGAGCATCCCTGGGCATCTCCTACACTCAGAAGACAACTGAAGCCAGCAGGACGTGTGTGAAACCACGTTCCCAACAACACTGACTGTGGAACTGCCAGTACCAGAAGCACTAACACAGCCCAATACACTGCGTCCAGCTGATGCCAGTCTTTAATGCTTCAGAGGAAAGGAAAATAGTGTAATAAACAAGAAAAGAAACCAGGCACCAGAAGCTGATGTATGTTGCTGTCTGAAGATGGTCAATGGAAACACTGAGACGTTGCTCTGAACACCAGTGCTCACAGCACAGCTCGCAGGATCACTGAAAGCAGCTGGCTGCCAGATGAGATAGAGAGGGACCCTGAGACATAGGGGGCTATCACTGCTACCTAGCAGTTTGAGTTTTCATATTTGCAGCCTGGCCACTGAATTCCCAATGCCCACAGCAGTGCATTGCAAGCCAGGCATCACGCCCTTCTCCTTTGTGTTGCTACAGATTTCACAGAGGATCTTGAAATGTTAGAAAAAGCAGATATGGTCAAGAGCAATGGGGTGAGAGCTACATTAATATGAAGCAAAGAAATACAACCACACCTCATCCCCCGCCTCGGAGGAACTGAGATGCTGTATCACCAAGGTGAACACAAAGAGAGGCCAAAGAGAATGACGTGCTCGAAACATCTGGGATGCTGTGAAAATCTGCGTTTTGACAGTCGGGGAGCTGGTGGCTCAGGGCAGAGCTGCTAGGGGACTCGGGCACCCCTCTCGCCAACAGCTGGATCCCCCTGGGTGCACCCCTACAAGGAGCCCCTGAGAGCGCAGAGGGAGCCAGACCTCCCAGCAAGGGGGGCACCCCGTGTGGGGCACAGGACTGTGGCGCCCCGTCCCACAACAGCCCTCATCGGCATCTCACATCACCTTCAAATGGCCTTGCCAGCAGCTTGTCTGGCCGATGCATGTGGTATCATCCTGGTGACACGGACACGTTAACATTTAATGCCAACCTAATTACTGATGAGCCTTTCATATTCATGGGTGTATTTTAAAGACACATGCTGTGTGATGAGACAAGAAAGCGGAAGACGCGATCTGGAGGGAAGCGAAGGGAATGCGTGCGATCAAACACATAAGCAAAAGAAAATAAATATCAAAAGTTGTTATGTCTCTTCTTCCTGTTTTGTAATTCAGGGCTTGAGGTTGGGTTGTTTGATCATTGTAAAAAATGGAAATTTCAAATAAACAGTTCTGGAGACTGAAATGACACGTGCTTTATGCAGAGCCTTACAGGGGGAGGAGATATATTTTAAATGAGGAAATTTGCTTAGAAATCCTTTTGTCTCCTAGAAACGTTATGTTTACATCCTCACATGCCTTTCTTTTGTTTAACCTGAGATAGCCCTAATTTCAGCTGAAAGTGTAGTGATCCTCCTACATCTGCTGCGCTGCACTCTGAAAGAAGATTACAGTACGCTATAGAAAAGCCACTTTTTAAGATACGTTTTTTGCCAGCAACATAAATGAGAAGTAAATATTTATCAGTTTTGCACCCAGCAGATTATGGCTCTTCACGGTATCTTTCTGAACCAAGAACAATTAAATTACAGGCTGGTTTAATCCTACTCAGCCCCATAGACACAGCTTCCCCCATTACCTGCAGTGGAGCCTTGCAGCCCAGCACACCTGTGGGTGCCGGCCCTGCCCTGCGGCCCCAGCCCACCCACTGCTGGTGGTGTGGGACTCACAACTGTTGTCTTGTCAGGACCCCCTCGCCTCCCAGCACCTTTTGGTGTCCCACCCTGTCCCCTTGCCACCCCTGAGAGCAGGGGCTGGCAGTGGGAGCACTCCTGGCCCCCCTCCGGACATCCCCTCTCTGTCCTGCAAGGTGTGACACCGCAGCTGCATTATCATAAAATGCCCAGCTCCAGTGATTAAAGAAACTTGCCACATGCTCTCCCCAGCACATCATTGTTTCTGTGCCCGTGGTGGTGGCAGGAGGAGCTTGTCACCCGCTGCTCTGCTCAGGTCACTGCCAGGAGCTCACATCGGTGCCTTAGCTGGGCAGTTTCATTCCCACGTGCCAACCAGCAGAAAAAGAATTGAAAGGGAAAGGAGGCAACCCTTCAGCTTCTAAAACTTACCAGACATACCCTTTCATTTCAGAATTCTAAACCAAAGAATTGCCAAATTCTAATGATTTTCATGGAGAGAAAGTGGCCAAAACTACTTAAGCGTGTGTATCTCAGGAAGCAAAAATAACTACAAACATACATAGTAAAGTCAAGCAAGATGCCTGCAGAGCCATAGAGCTCTCAGTGTAATTTAGAATAAAACATCTCAAGTTAGACTTTAAAACCTCATTCATGCAATAAACAATGAATAAACAAATTTAAAAAAAAAAAAATCCTAGATCATGTTGTTACATTGTTTAAATCAGTTTTGAAATTCTTAGAAGTGAACAAAAATCTTCTGCTTGGTGCTGTTTTTCCCTTGTTCCTTCCCCTAAGCCAGGCTCAGCTCTCCACTCCTGAGCGTCAGTGGGATTTATGGGTTTATCAGCCATTCTCCCAAGCACTTCTCTTAATGGCCCACGCTGCCAGCAAGGCAGCCCGAGTGACTCCCCTTCGTGTCACTTGACAACTGTCATGTCTTACAGCAATTTCAAAGAGACAATGACCGAGTCTCTCAGTATTAGTACTGCGGTTGTGAGGGGCCATCTGCACCTGCAGGGGCTTCGAGTCCTATGCTGTCCTCCAGAGCTTGTCAGCAGCCTCCGGAGAAGGAGCTTGCAGCAAGAGCACTCTGAAACAGGCACTGAAGTAGCTCAATCCATCACTGAGAGTTCATCAGTGCCCCTAAATTTATTGTCATTTTGGAAGTCTTTTAAAAACCAGTGCTAAGCAGAAGGTTTTTTCAGCCTCGCAGAACTCCCGTTAATGGAAAGGAAACGAGCATTACCGCCGTAACTCAGCCTAATCACGGGAATTAAGTGGGCACTTCTTCCTGGATTAGCTTTCGTGGAGGTAGTGCTTGCAGTTCTGTTTCCCCTATAGATCAAAATGTTCTCTCATAGTTGTTTTTATTAAAAAAAAAATCTTTATTGAAATCTTACTTTCTATTTTTTAGTGAGTAAAATTGCTGCCTCTGCACACTCCATTCTAATAATAAATGTCCTCTCCGGCCGCTTGCCTTTGTTCCCACAGGTTTCAACCAAAGCACTTTAGCCTAAGTGTATGTGGAGTTGCTGTTATTTTAACCAAATAATTAGCATATAAAATGCTTCCTGACCACAAACAACACTGTAAAGACATCTTTCATACAGGAGATCACCTCCAGGAGCAAGCAGCAACGAACGCTTACAGAGACAGCTGCTTTGCATGATTTATTAGCCTTCACCACCACAGCCAGCCTCCGCACTCCTGTGCCCTGTGTTGTTGATGGGCAGTTGAGCAGTCTGACATTAATTCACCAGCATGACCAAGAAAATGACACAAGCTAAAAGAAGCCCCGGGCCCCAAAGTGCCTGAGCTCCCCGAATGGCCCCGTCCCACTCCCAGCGCTGGCCACGGCACCCCCCAGGCTGGAGGAAGGCACCGCGGTGCCGGCATCGCCGCCCTGCACCACTCCCCATGCCCTGTGCCAGCTACAAAATGTAAAACCCCAGCAATTATCCTAGCACTGCTGAGTATCACCAAAATGAAAACATTTTAAAATGAAAAACATTAAAAAAATATTTAATTGGACTGGGAACTTGTTATATCATAGAACCACAGAATGGTTTGGGTTGGAAGGAACCTTAAGGAGCATCTAAATCCCAACCCCTGCCATGGGGCCCCCTCCCACCAGCTGCTGAAATCAGACTTGACTCCCAAGAACAGGGGAAGGAGCAGCTCCTATTTTTCAGCTGCAGTACTTCAGTGGTAAAAGAGGAAAGGTTGCCTGTTAGCAGGACACACTGAGGACAACACATACCTTGCAAAATTCTCATGAGAGATAACCCACAGCTCTGCTGTTTGCTGAACAAGGCAGCTCTTCCTCATGCACCTCATCTGTTCTCATTTGCAGAGACACAGGCAAACAGCTGCGGTGTGTCCACGGGAAAGGTGCATTAATTCCCACCAGCTGGTTTCTGCTCACCCTGCTCCGCGGTGACCTCCAGCACAGAGCACTAATCCCTGGTACATGGGGGGCATACAGAGCCCCCTCCAGCCCCTCATGTCCTGGCAGCAGGAGCAGGAGGGTGCTGCCCTCTGAAAGTTGGGTGAAAGCAAAGGTAATCACCTATCTGTGACAGCACTGACCTGCTGCCAGCTTTCCTCTGAAACTTTGAGTTCTGATGAAAAGTCAAATGAGATAGGCAAATAAAAGGAAAAAAAAATCCCATCTAACAGACTAATTTTTCCCTGAAAATAAATAAATCCTGCAACTTCAGTTCCCTCTGCTGTGTGCATCATTTTATGTTATTTACACTAACATCATTTTGTACCATTCTGTGGCTACTGGTAAGAAGCTACTTGTGAGTAAACTCCTTTCCAATAAGCACTCAGTGCTTTAGGATGGTGAAATCTACAGGTCTTCCCTTCCAGTGGAAAACAGCACACTGAAACCCATGTATGCTGTGCAGCTCCATGATCATCATTACTAACGTGAATTTTTTCCATACAAGACAGCATTCAAAAATTACTTGTGGATAAACTCTAACATAGCTGCAATTACAAACATTTGTTTTCTCTTGTAGGGAGCTTTAAAAAGAATACTTTTGGCTGATTAATTTAATTTCACCTTAATTCATTTAATTTTCAAAGTACTATTTTTGTCCCAGTCTAACACTGCTTTGATATAAGGTTCAGGCTTTCAGATGCACAGGGGACTGCAAGTCTCATGGGCACTGAGCTGCACATAAAACCTCTCCTTGCATGGCTATGGCTTCTGAAACTACACTAAAAAAAAAATTTAAGCTACAAATTTTGATGTTTTAAAAGCAGCTGACCACTAAAAAGAGATTGATAACACATTAAAATAGTGGTCTGATTGAGAAGCGTTCTGAATTCATGGGGTTAGAAAGTTACTTTTTCAGTTTCACCATATTTTTTTCCAAGCTACCAGGTTTGAAAACCTTTACTTCCTATGGCACACACCAAGTTTTTCATCTTTCAAAATCAAGAAATGACCCACTGCAACATCTTTGAGTTATGTTACTGGCAAATATCTGATGTATTCTCAGCAGAAAGACAATTGCAAAGGTCATTTGGGAGCAGTCCTGCATACTCGGGATCTCTTCTCCTGTTGAAGCATGCCCACCAGGACCCGATCCTTTTCAGAACAACCCAGGAAGTCAATACAATGCTGCACCTTCTGTGACACCAAAATACGGAGCAGTGTGTTAAAAAAATAGATGAGTGGCATTTTATTTTTTCCTCCTCTAAACACTGTACCTGAAAAATTGCCAGGGGTGTTTTGCGCCCTGGGACTGGGAGGCTGCTGAGCCTCCTGTGTGCTTCCAGCACCACCAGCTGAGCACTGACACAGGCTTCATCGGTTTGTTCCCCTCTTTGCTTTCCATAGCAGAATTAGAGATCACCAAGAGTGAACAGCAACTGAAGATGAGGAATTTGTCCTCTTCTATAAACTCTGGAGAGCAATTACTCATATTTAAGATACAGTCAGCCTTAGGCTAGCACGTGTTGCAGAAGCAAGTCAGCAACAAGCACGCCTCTGGTGCTGCACACGCTGAGCCAGGACCCACAGCCCACATCCCCGTGCCCCACACACCTGGGTGGCTCCCAGGGGACAGCACACACCTGAAGCTCTGTGGCTTCCCGTGGGCTGCAGAGGCCTCTTGCTGTCACCAACCCTACAAATCATCCTAACGTGGCCACCATCAGCGCTTCTTCACAGCTGTCACTCTCCCATTCTGTGCTCCCTGGCTGCAAGTGCTCTGGGAGCCAGGGCATGTCAGGCACATTTGACTACAAAGCAAGAGCATTATTCCTTCCTTAGCAAATGCAGATGGCTCTGAAAGAAAAAGTGAGACACAGCAAAAAATTAAACTTGAAAAGGGAGCTCAGAAGTCAGCCTCATCCCCACCCACCACTCTTCCTTTGATCAGTTGGATGAGAAGAGATGCACCAGGGTCTCTGTCTCCTCCTCTCTGAGTACACCCAGGTTCGCTCTCTGAAAGTCAGAAATTAGGAGGAATGGCTCCTGCTGAAGCCACAGGAGAGTTAAGCTTCTCAGGCTGTTCTGCAGTTTCAGCCTATATTCTCTATAGAGGCACTTACAGAAATTGCAAAGGAAGCATTTCCAAACCACCACACAAACTCACATCTAATTTTAGGTGGGAAATATTATTTTCCAGTATCTGAATTGTTTGATGGTGCAGCTGTGAGACCTTCCAGAGGATCCACAGAGCCAGGGAAAAGACATCAAGACAACGCTGAAGGAGAAAAACTGAAGGAGGAAAAAAGAAAAATTGTCAGAAATTGCTCCTGAGTCTGGATGCACAGGAGTGCTCCAGCCCCACAGCACCGCACGCAGAGTGCTAACTGGATGCAATGCCCACAGAAATCCAGCCCCGCTCACCAGCTGCAGCTCAGGGCCAGCCCCTCCTGGGCAGACAGAAGCACCAACTGCAGTCCCTGCAGAGGCCCCGTTGTGGTCAGCAGGGATGTGCAGAGGGCAGCACCCAGGTACAAGGGAGATGTGCCCACACCAAGGCAAGTCCCTGGGAGTGCTCACCCTGGAGGGTGGCAGGTGCTTGGTACAAGTAAGAGGGGATGGTTTGAGCTTTTTTTGGTCATGTGTGGAAGGGAATTTTGCCATGTGTTACTAGGAATTGCCTGCTAGTTCCTCTTCTCTTTATACAGAACCCAAATTTGCATAGAAAGGCTTTTTAAATTTGGGTCTATGCATTTGATTTTGCTGCTTTCCTAGAAAACAGAGGGGATAAAGCCCCACATCACCACAAAGCCATGAGCTGTGTGACAGAAGACACCCTGAGCTACAGAAAGCACTCCTTGATCCAGAGTAATGCCAAAACATGGCATAGCAATGCCAAGTCACCGTGGGCTGACGGCTCAGCACAGGGAAATCGTGACTCGATAACAGCTGGCAAACACGAGCAGGGTAAGGACAGGTCAGTGATGTGCACACAGAGCTGGATGGGCCCAGCATGAGCCAAAGGGGTTGAAGAGTGAACTTTATTGACAGTATTAGAGTGGTAATTAAAAGAACCAACCAAAGAGAATGGAAATATACTTACAAAAGCACAAGCATACATATAAACCCAGTGTAGACAGTACCCAAAAAACCTCTGCCAGCAGGGTTAGAGGTGATAGCATGAGTTTGTTTTAAGAACTATGCCAAGGATCTTGAAAACTGTATTTATCAATAAGCAGACAAATAGTATGACTGTCAGTAAGGTGAAAAACGGTATTAAACATTTCTCTTTAGGATATGAACAGAGATGCACGTGCCCATGAGTCTGCTTATCCTTCCCTGCAGTTACTGGGGAGCTGGTAGACAGCAGCCATGCAAACAAAGGACTTCCAGGCTATTAGGAAGTACCAAAAATTGGATAGCAGAGAAAGCAGAAAGATGGAAAGAAAACTGACAATCCATTTCATTTAAAAAGTTGTCTAGGAAATGTCATTTCTTGTTGATTTAAGTAAAATTGGTTCAAGTAACAGAAAGGCAAGAAATGTAGCTAAATAATTAGACAGTTAACTCTAGTTTGTGGTAATTACATTAAAAATTATCTTATGATTTCCATAATTAAGGAAGGTTACACATTTTGGCTGATAGATGAATTAGCACTGGTGTAAAATATACCTAAAACTTGAGGTGGTACCATACAGCTTCTCAATGAAGAAAGGAGAAAAATACAAAATCAATACAATGGTCTTTAAACAATTAAATGCAATCTCAGTGATTGGCCTCAGAGTGGAAAGCCCACTGAGCAGCCTCATCTCTGCACGAATCGACAGTTGGCTCTAGGCTGCTGAGCATTTTAATCAGGGGCTTTGAAGAAAACAAAATCACTACTAATCAAATTTGCAGAAGACAACAGAATTAGAGCAGTGGTAACAAAGTAACTTTTATTTCATTAACATGATGAAATGTGGATCTCGTGGTAATTAAGTAGTATCCCTCCTACCACTTTTAAACATCTGTCCAGGTTCCTAGGAATAAAGATATATTTCAGGCTTGGAGGAAAAAAAAAAAACTTAGTCAATGTTCACCTTGTGACCTTTTGACTTTGTGTTTTAATCATAGTACAAAACAAAGATTACATATCAGTTCATTCACCGGCTTGTAGAAAAGCCTGTCATTAGCAAATGCTTAACAACCTGCCGTATGTTTATAAATAATTCAACTCAGAATTCTGAAATTAATTTCTGAAACAAACTTCAGAAAAGGAAAACCACTCAATTCCCAGGAGCATGCCCCAGAAGATTATTAACTCCGGGAGTAGTTATAGCTTGGCAGAATCAAATCTTAAAGTTTTCCACTGTCTCAAGCATAAGTAGAAGCTTTGCTTGACTTGCAATTGCTTGATGGCATTTCTCCTCTCATTTCCATATTATCTTCAAACAGGCTGCTGGTCTCGCACCAGCCTCAAGGGAAACCCTCACATTGCTCTCATGTCCTGGGTGCCCCGTTTGCACCCCTCCCTATCTGTTACTTGGCATGTCAAACATCTTCCCCAGCTTCATCGTGCATCTATTAGAATATGCTAAATAATCGTCCCCTAGCATTTTACCCATTGCCAAGGGTAGGGTCACCTCCCTGGTGTTGTGGGGAATTTCTGATGCTGAATCTTGCATTGGTCTTTTCTGCTTCTGTGAGTCACTGCTAAATATCCGTGCACTTCCTTGTGCTAGTGGTGTTTGGTGCTTTGCAGCTAACTACACAACCAAGTTAGTTCTTTTCTTCCAGCTCCACAGTACAGAGCACAACATTAACGTGGCACATTCAGTAATATATTTCATTCATTACCATTTCTCCTACTGCCCCTCACCTTGAGCCGCAGCCCTGTGAGGTCCTGCCAGGATTGCCACCAGAAATCCATCTGCTGGCAGAAGTCCAGTGGCCTCTGCATGGAGTGAAGCTGTGGCTCTGCTGCGAGCAGGAGCACTGCACTGCTGCCCTGTTGCATCTGCTCTGAACAAGGCTGAAAACGAGAAGTAATTTCTGCAGCTGCCCAAGCATTTTCCCTGCCTCGATGCAAGCTGGAGCAGCGAGGAGACACGGTCTCTGTGGAGCAGGGTGTCCTCAGGAGGCCCAGCACAGGACACCGTGGCAGCTGTTTAAGAGGCAATAAGTTCTCACCCCAAAAAACACCCAAACAACAGAAGAACCATGGACTAATTGGTAATGAAGGTCTCCCCGGGGAGAGGGATGGGAAGACTTTACCTACTAACACTTCCATCTAAGGACCAATTTAGGAAAAAAAGAGCTGCCATACAATTAGCAGGGGCTAGAAGAGACCTTGGGGAAGCATCTTGCACTTCTCCTCACCCTGTTATGACTGCTAAAGATCACCTACACTTAAAACCCAGAAAAAAACTATACTGTGCTCAGCACTGCAGCTCCACTGGCCCAGTAAATACTCCCCACGTATGAAAACAACCTGCAGGTACATCACACCAGAGAAATGCACGTCGTGTTTAAAAGGCAAACAGCATTCTGGAAAAGCAGCCACAGCCACGCATCTCGGGGAAGCTGGCATTAAAGCCCGCATGCTGTTAATCCAAACGCCATTCTGAGGGAAACATTACCATTTTGCAAACTTTGCTGCCAACAGAGAGCTAAAATAATGAGTAGTGTTTACTTATATCCAGGGCATGAATTATGGAGTCCTTGAGGGTCGCTTTTTCTTTTCATAAAGCCAAAGCTTTGCAGCTCTCACACGCTTACCCTGGCAAGTGTAAGGAAAGGGACAGGTCAGGAGCTCCCACAGTCCACCGAGGGGCTGGATGGATGATTTGTGATGCTCTTAATATGTTTTTAATTCCTCATTGCAACTTTTTAGCAATATATTTTAAAGCAGAAAACACTCGCAGCAACCAAGCCAGACGTTTGAATTGAACAACAGGCATTTAGAGGGAAGCTAACAGCACTTTTAAGCCCTAAAAGCAAAAAATCACAATCTCGTATTCATCTAAATGTCACTTCCCAAGCAGTTACACACAGAGGTTGCTCAGACTCAGCAGCTTGCTTCTGCAGCTTGCTTCTGGCAGCCACAAACAACGTGCCGGGCCAGCAGCAATCGAACAAGCAGCCCGCAGCCCCATGCACAGCCCTGCAGGCTGGGCTCTCCGGGCAGCCCCTGCAGGGCAGGGCCACCCGGGGTCCCCCCAGCCATGCCCACCTGGCCCAGAAGAGCCACCAGGGCCACTTCCCAGAGGGACAGCAGAAGGCAGGGTGGCACTCGCAGGAGGGCAGCTCACTGGCTGGGAGAGCCGAGGATGCTCTCAGGTCCCAGAGCTGCAGTCAGCCTGCCCCAGCACTCAGGAGCTGTGCAGAGCTGCCAAAATCCTCCCAAGGACAAAAAGCAAGAAGGACTATCTGGACAAACAAGTACATCAGCAACCTCCATTTCCAATAAAAGATTTTTCACTAAATATCACTGGGAAAAGAAATCTACAGCTAATCTCAGTTTTGATGAGGGGTTAAAGAAAATCTCCACCAGGACATAGGAAACTCAAAGCTTTGGGGTCCAGAGCACACTGAGGAGCCTCCAGGTGTTCCCTGCACCTGCTGAGGGCTGCAGCATTCCCCAAGGACCAGCCAAGTCCCATGGCCTGGACTACCTCCCATAACAAACCAATAAACTTCTGGATCTTTCTACAAGCTAACACTTACTGGTTGGTATTGTTATCATGCTGTTCACAGTATTACAAATAAAAGCAAAACACAATTTGTTCTGATTTAACTCAGTTACTATAAATAACTGTCCCAGGCAGCCAGCTGCCATTTCTGGAAGTGAGAAGCCTTGGTGGATTTATTTGTTAGGTGTGGAAGCCACGCAAGCCTTGGAAATTTCCTGCACAAAAAGACAAGCGGTGTCCGGGCACCATTCCCACTGCGAGAGAGTAAAAGCCAGGATGAGCAAGTGTTTGCTGCTGGGGCACAGACGTGGTTGGGAGTGCAAAGGAAGCACCCATCCATGTAACACGTGGGCAGCCCCTAAAACACACGCACTGGGGAGCTGGGAACTCTGCCAGAGCAGAGCATTGCACAGCCAGAGCTGGGGGATATCTGGATCACTTTGAAGGGAAATTAATCTAGTTAATAGATGGCAGAGTCATCACCTAAGAGGGGCAGGTGAGTTAATACCTTGTAGGAGACACAGAGATAAGAAATTTTATTGCCACAGAGCCAATGAAGATCACTTTGCAGGACCAAGGCTAGAGGATTGCATGGGTAGGGCAAGAGACAGCAGCACA